ATAGATAGATTTAAAAGTCCCAAGCTGGGTACAGTGGCTCATGCCTGTAATCCCAGCCCTCTGGGAGACTGAGGTGAGAGGACTGCTGGAGCCCAGGAGTTCAAAACCAGCCTGGGCAACATAACAAGACTTCATCTCTACAAAAAAAAAAAATTAGCTGGGCATATTGGTGTGTGCCTGTAATCCTGGCTACTTGGGAAGTTGAGGAGGAAGGATCCCATTGGCTACTTGGGAGGTTGAGGAGGAAGGATCCCATTAGCTCAGAAGGTTGAGGCTATGGTGAGTTGGCTGTGATCGTGCCACCATATTCCAGCCTGAGTGACAGAGTAAGATTCTGATTTAAAAAACAGACAAACAAACAAACAAAAAACAAGTCCCAAATTCTCTTATGTAACAATTGACTGTCAACAGAGACAACAATGATGTTTGGAGGACTTTTTCAAACTGCTGTGTGCTCCTTCCTATAGTGCCCTGGAGGATGAGGGCTGACAGTCTCACACTCATATGTGCTGGGGGTGGGTGGTGGGACCAACACATCTCAGTAACAAAGCATTGTGCCAAAGGACAATGTCAACATCTTTTGGGATGTTCTTGGCCTATTTGGATATTTTTTTCATGCCAGGGTTCACAGCCCCCAAAGGAATAAAGACTTAACAAATTTTAAAAAAACCTGAATGACAGGTTTGAACAAATGGGAGGGCTTGAAAGCAAGAAAGTAGGGCTTAAAAGTCCAGCCTAATCATACTGTAAAACTTTTACTTATTTTGTAATGTATTCAAAATACTGCCTGCAGGAAAAGTTAAAAATCTCCCAAATTTTGAATTTTAATATAACACTACCATTCACATGCCAATGGCACCTTATGTCATTTGTTCAAATGTATTCAGAAACACATTGCATATGACTACAGTGGTGTTCTGATTTTTTGAGAAGCTCACTTTCCAGAAAGTCCACACATGGATATAATATTCTATGGTTCTCAAACTGTGCTCAGTAGAGCTCCAGAGTCATGGACAGTTCCTTGTGGACCACCAGGAGGGCAGGATGGAGGCTGGAGTTGGGGGGCAGTTAGGGGTTTTGGCTCCACCCACTCTGAAACCAGAGCAGCTCTGCTTTCATCAATCACATTTACTACGATTCAGGCAATATTTTGTTTGAAAAATAGGTTTTGCTCTAAAAAAAAAAAAAAGGAAAGAAAGATTTGAAAACCACCCTCACAGTTTGCAAGTTCACTGTCTTCTATGTTAAGTCCAATATTATAGTCTACAGAAAAACAAATTCCAATCACACACAAAATAGCTTGTCTCCAGTAAAGCAGGAAAGAGAGAAGACGCAATGATGGACCCCCAAGACTGTGGTGGGTAAATGTGAAGTTGGGGTAACACTGGTGGATCTGGGGTCTGACATGTTGAAGCTCACCTCATTAGGGTGTTTTTAATGGCACCCACGATGTCTCCTGAGCACTCACCCCAGCTGATTTTTAACAAAGAATGGAAGCTTGGACCAAGACAGAAGCAGGATCATGATGGCTCTAGATACGTTTAGAAATCTGTCTTCCTGGGATCAGGGTGGGCAGAAGTACTTTTCAGAAAGACAACTTGGTCCCAGAGACCCCTGTGCCATTCTGTCTACTCTTTTTCCCTAAAAAGGCTTCTATGTGTCTCTGACTGGTAAAATAATCCTTTAAGGCCCATTTCAAAAGTTATCACTTCCCTGAAAGCTTCTTTTGGACCAAGTTTATGGGTCACATTCCTGGATTCCTTCAGATTTCTTCACTCAGGGTTTTTTTTTTTTTTTTTAAGAAAGCAGTTTATTAAGAAGACAGAAAAGCTCCCATAGCAGGAGGGGACCCAAAAGAGGGGTTGCCCTACTGGGGGTGGTGGTGGAAGTGTTGTTCAGACCATGGTACCTAGAGGGCCACGGCTGCATCTTCCTCAGTTGCTTGTGCAGCCCTGAGATCTGGTATATATGAACAGCTTAATGAGAGTTAATTAAATTGAATTAAACTCTGGTTTCAGGAGAAGGGATAGAGACGGAAGACCAGTCTTTGGAGTAGGCTGGCTGAGGCTGGAACCCAGACTTTTCACCTTTCTGGGTGTTAGATTTTTCTACAACAGAGAGCATGGCTTATCACAAAGTAAAGATGCACTAGCTATAAGCTCCTTTTCCATTTATTTTCGCTAAGAAGCAGCCATAAGGGAGGCTTCTGTATTTGTAAACTAAAATACATATACTTCTAATAGATTTCCTTGGGCAACTTAAATTTTAATGTAGCTCATGTGCACCATCTGCTGGAGAAAGTTGAACATCTATTTCAGGTCAAAGCTGGAAGTCACAAGGTTTTTAATCAGATATTAGAAAATCAAGAAAACAAGAGTTAAGCCTAGAAAATCGAATCTATAAACTCTAGGACATTCAGAGAGTGCAATGTTAGGCACACTGAATATTCAACTTCAGAACTTTCTATACTGTGCTTCAAGTGTAAACAATTTAATATTTTTGGAATCCATTTTCAAATATATTCATATTTTTACTTACTATATATTAGTTCTAGCTCATTAGAATGGAGGAAAGACTATCTTATATTCAGAGAAAGAAAAAAGGAGTCATTTCCATATAACTAAAGAAACATTATTAAAAGAGTAAGAAAAGCAAAAGATTAAAAAGCAGTTTCATTAGCTTTAAGACATGTGTCTTTGGTTGGAAAGATTGAAAGAGATTATGGCTAAGGTCTCGGATTATTTTATTTCACTATATAAATAAAGACATAATCATACATAAATATGTTAGGAAGTTGTGCAAGGTGGGGAGAGGAGAGACAGAGTTTTTAAAATAAATCAATTGATAAAACCCCCTCACTATGCATATCTCTACAAAGTTTGGGGCAAGTATCAAGTTGTAAAATATTACATATGCTATCACATCTTCTTAGAAATACACAATAAAAAGTTAAGTTTAAATATAAGAAGGAAATATTTAGATCTGTATATACAGGTATGGTGTAAGTGACCTATCTATATCCAGCTATCTCCCCTTATAAAATAGAAGGGCTATATAATATACAGTATGAGTAACCAACCACTTCCTCTACAGTGATCACAATCCATTGAGAACACAAGAGAATGATATCTAGAGTTACCCATGGCAACTGTATGCAACAGAGGACAACCTGCAGCCAGACAGTAACATCCACATATAAAGGGGGGAACACAGTGGGTGGCAGTCCATGGAGAGACCAATGGGGCTGGCTACCTTTCAAGACAGGAAGCACCAGGAAGAATACAGTTTGTTAGAAAGGGAAGAGGAACAAAATATCAGTCTTTACTTACCTGGAGGCAAGATCAAATAAACTGTAGTGGACAGGCTAGTTTGATTCTAAGCAGTACAAATGTGAGTGTAGTTGAAGGAATTCAATAACCAAGAAATTATTATTATTATTTTTGATTTCACGCTTAAAATTTTTGTTTGCCTTTTCTTAGTGACAGGGTCTCACTATATTGCCCAAGCTGGTCTCAAACTCCTGGGTTCCAGCAATTCTCCCACCTTGGCCTTCCAAGCAGCTAGGACTATGGGCACATACCACTATACCTGGCTAATTTTTATTTTTATTTTTGTAGAGATGAGGTCTTGCTGTGTTGCCTAGGCTGGCCTCAAACTCCTGGCCTCAAGCAATACTTCTGCCTTGGCCTCATAAAGTGTTGGAATTATAGGCATGAGCCACCCAGTCAATGAGGAATTATTGAATGAAAAATTACAGGTTAGAATGGAGACATTTGAGTAGTTCAGTGCATGGACACTGAAGCAAGAGTGAGAATTCTGGCTCACCCTTTTATGAACTGTGCAATCTGGGACAAATTACTTAACCTCTCTGCTGCCTTGGTTTCTTCATCTATAAAACAGGCCTAATTAACATCTCAAAGTGATGTTGTGAGGAACAGCACTTTTAATAGATAAAAGTGCTATGAACAGCACCTGACACACAATAAGTACTACACAAAAACGTTTGCTCTTCTTAATTGAGGAAGCCAGAGTTTTGCTATTCATACTGCATGAATCACAGTGTATCCACCACTTTCTGGCTGACTATCCTTGGTTTCTTTATCTGTAAAATGAGCATATTCATAATTGTGTCAGAAGTGACAGTAGTATATAAGCTTGGCACAATGACTGGCCAGGATTATTCCCTTATATATCATTCATTGTCAGCTACCCAAGTTGTGTGATTATTTCATGTTACATACATATTATGTGCATTTATTAACTCTAAATACACCTGGGCATGTATGTAACGTGTGTTTCTGGTGACCTGTTCTGTGATACAGAAACAGTGTTTCGGTGATACAGAAACAGTGGAATATATTGGCAAGGAGCTTGCTAGACTGACCAAACCTTGATCCAAAATTATAAAAAGGTTAAAGTTCTATACAAAGTAATGTCTAGATCCAAAGGCTTTTCAGCAAAATTTTAACCTGCATTAAGATTTGTCAAGGCTGGGCTTGGTGGCTCACACTTGTAATCCCAGCACTTTGGGTAGCAGAGGGGAGAGGATTGCTTGAGCTTGGGAGTTCAAGACCAGCCTAGGCAGCATAATGAGACATTGTCTCTACAAAAAAATAAAATAAAATAAAATAAATAAATTAGCCAGGCGTGGTGGCATATGCCTGTAGTCCCAGCTACTCAGGAGGCTGAGGCAGAAAAATCCCCTGAGCCTAGAAGGTTGAGGCTGCAATGAGCCATGATGGATATTGGATTCCAGCTATTGGATTCCAGCTATTGGATTCCAGCCCGGGGGACAGAGTGACTCCAACTCAAAAAAAAAAAAAAAAAAAGAAAGAAACAAAAACAAATTTAAAAAAAGATTTGTCAATGCTCAGATAAAGAGAGGCGATTCAACAGTGAATGTTGTGTCAGGATATTTTGATTTTGATCCCATTGGTCCCTCCAGTAAAGGTAGAAACTTTCTCGAAAGCAAACTCCTGAACAAAAGAAGTACCACGTACCTTTTCAATTAACTCGTAACTCTCCTCAAGCTTGAGCAGCCTGTTTTGCACCGACGTGGATGCTCTCTGGTAGACCGCTCGCCACTCCTGGAAGTCGCTTTCTGAAATCTCAGCCACAGCAAAACACAAGGTCCTTAGCCCTGGAAAAGGCAACACACGCCGCCCCAACACACCAAGGAAGACTTTATTCAGAAGTCTGAGATTTCTGTTTCTATTTATCCAAGTCATACTTCAAAAGATAGATTCAATTCAAACAGTATGGCAAAGTCAAATTCAATTATCATGACACCTGAACATAAAATGTCAATTAAAGTTCTTATAGTCTCTAACTTGGTACACTGCTTCCAAGCCCCAGTGCTGCTTGTAATCCCTCCTCTGTGCCTAGAGTGGCTTTCCTAAAATCTTAATCTTTTTTCTTTTTTTGAGTCAGGGTTTCTCTCTGTCACCCAGGCTAGAGTGCAGTGGCACAATCATGGATCACCACAACCTCAACTTTCTGGGCTCAGGTGATCCTTTCGCCTCTGCATCCCAAGTAGCTGGGACTGCAGGTGTGTGCCACCACAACCAGCTAATTTTTTTTTAGAGATAAGGTCTTGCTATGTTGCCTAGGCTGGTCTCAATTCCTAGGCTCAAATGATCATCTTGCGTCAGCCTTGCAAAGTGTTGGCATTACATGCGTGAGCCACGGCAGCCAGCCCTGAAATTCTAATCTTATCAAGCTATTTTCTTGCATGAAATCTTCCAATTTTTCCTCAGGATAAAATCAAAACCCCAAAGTATGGCTTATACACCTTTCACCCACTGTCTCTGCCCTTATTCCTTGCCATTCACTTCCTACATACCAGGGTCTTTGTCTATACCAGTCACTGCTTCTCTCTCCCACCTTCCTCAACACCCTTCCACGGTCTGCCTTGCGTGTACTTTACAACTTAGCTCCTAAAATCATCTCTTTGATGCATCTACTCTTACCTAGACCCCGCAGGCAGAAATCCCCAGATACTCTTATGGTGTGAATGAGTGTTTCATCCAGTTTTCCTGTGGGTCTCTTTTCTTTCTTTTTTTTTTTGAGTTGGAGTCTCACTCTGTCGCCCTGACTGGAGTGCAGTGGCTGCTCCCAGCCACCGCAGCCTTGACCTGCTGGGCTCTGGCGATCCTTCCGCCTCAGCCTTCCGAGTAGCCGGAATTACAGGCGCACGGTACCATGCCCAGCTGATTTTTTGATTTATTGTAGAGATGAGGTCTCGCTGCCCAGGCAGGTCTCGAACCCGCGGGCTCAGGCAATCCACTCACCTCAGCCTCCCAAGGCACGGGATTACAGGCTGAGCCATAAGCCCGGCAGTGAGTCTCTTTTATTAGATTAACGCCTCTGAAGGACAGAGACCCAGAGTTCTTCATGTCTGTAACTCCAGTATCAAGCACAGCACCTGACTCATTACAGTGGTTTCATGGATGCTTATTACAGGAGGGAGAGAGAGAGGCTCCAGGAGGGTGCACTGGGAGAGCCACCTTCCTCTTACTGGGACATATGATTATATTTCTTACTTCTCTTTACCACTATACATTTGTAATAAAAAGAGTCTAAGTGTAGTTGAGGGATCGAGGCAAAAAAGAATAGCCAGCAGACAGACCCTGGGAAACCAGTCAACGCTAATGGTTGACCAGTGATTGGTGCCTGCCAATCTCATAACTCACTTCTCCCTCTGCCAGAAAAAAGTCGATGGACAGAGAGAAGGGAGAAAAGCACTTATCAGTCATGCAAAGAAGCAGTCAACTAGGTTCTCAAGAAGACAAAGTTCTCTCTCAAGGTCATTGAACTCTGAGAGTGACTAGAACCAGACTCTAGGCTTAGTGATCCCAAGTCAAATAAAATATGTCTAAAGGAACATGTCAGAAGCAAAAAGCAGACAGCAAAGGATGTAAAGTACCCAGAGGAGTAGGGGTACTCAAAGGAGTAGGGTTGCCTACAGCCAGATCACTGAGAATGAATTAAATCTTTGGGACCATGTTAGGACATGTTTCTTTTGGAAACTTAACTGGAAAACTTACTCTGGGTAGTCCTGAAGGAGAAGTGTTATCCAGCCCAGGGCCAGAAAGAATGGGGTGGAGAAGGGGGCCAAGTCAATTAAAATCAAAGAGTATCTTTAACACCACAACCAGAGAACAGAAAGTCACCCTGGATCCTCCTCAAAAACACAGAAGTATATGTGGTGTTTGCCAGGTAGGCTGTAATGCCAAGCCCACCTGAGGCCACACCTTAAGAAATGTGAATTCTATGGATACATATGCTTCCATGCTCTTGCATTTTGGAGGAGAATGGGAAGAAGACTCTTTGTGTCCTTGGTTTTCAAAGTCGAGTGGGTTTTTTTTGTTGTTGTTTTTGCTTTTTTTTTGCCTACTGTTTTAAAAAAATTCCTATATTTTCTGAACCTGGAATAAGAGGAAAAGGATTTGCTGACAGGTCAGGTTTGGTGCCGTTATTAATAGTTCCAGTTGAAATGGACAGGAGTGAGAGCTGAGATAGTGTTGTCAAGTGAGTCTTATCTCTCCAACATCTTGTAGTAACTGACTCTCATGCTTAACAACCCTTGCTTCTTTTCATCTAACCTGAATAGTCCTGCCAGACCACAAACTGCCTTGCCTCACACACCATATATTTCAGGAGGACAGAGAGACCAAGCTAAGCTAGTTCACCAAGGATTCTCAGGCCTCACACATAGCCTGGCATGTGGCAGGGACTTAAGAAAATCTTGGGTATTAACTAAATTGAGTAGCCATTTTAATAGTTACATACATTTTTAATACAAAGTCTTGAGTTGAAGCTAAACTGAATAACTATTATAATTGTTTATAGGTTTATTTTAATTTCTTCTCTTTTTTATCCAGATGAGAATATTTTGGTGCTTTGACTCTTGCTTTTTTTCCGAATACATTGCTTGATATGCAAGGGAACGTACCTAAAATGGAAATACCATCCACTCTAAAAAGTAAAACAGATTCATAGGTCCTGTTCTCTAAAATGTGGGATCAAAGTCTCTCAAAATTTTAATAAACATAGTTTTAGGAAATGAAAATAAAAATACTGGGTAGTAAAATCTAAATTGCCAACAATAATCGCCATCTTACTTTAGGAATCTCAATGTAAAATAATAACAGTGATTGCGTAAGATATCAGAAGTATATGATCTCTTTTTTCTTTTAATCATGGTTTATTGACATATTACACTCACCTTCTGTAGCAAACTGCTCTAGATGTTTTAGGGTAATTTCTTTATATTTGGAAGTCTCTGCCAGTCGGTCATAAATCACAGTATCCTGGAAAACAAACATAAGGTATAACGTGCTTAATTAAGCATTCAGAGTTTAATAAAGTTGATGTTGGCAACATTAGTAGCAACCCTGTATAACAACCAATCACTTTTAGCAGTAGTAATAAAGTGCAAAATATTTTCATCTAATAATACCATCTCCCTAGTACCACTAAGAAATAAGGTTCAGCAGGATGTGATGACTCACTCCTGTAATCCCATCATTTTGAGAGGCAGAGGTGAGAGGATTGGGATTCAAGATCAGCCTGAGCATCTTGGTGAGACCTCATCTCAACAATAAGTCAAAATAAAAATATCAGCTGGACGTGGTGGTGTGTGCCAGTGGCTCCAGCTACTTGGAAGACTGAGTCAGAAGGATCACCAGCAGGTCAAGGCTGCGGTGGCTGTGAGCGTGCCACTACACTCCAGCCTGGGTGACAAAAGAGAGAGAGGGAGAGAGAGAGAGAGAGAGAGAGAGAGAGAGAGAGAGAGAGAGAGA